CCATTTAACACAGTGACCTGGTCTCTGGCAGGGATAAGAGTGGGGTCCCTCATCTGAGCACCCAGAAAATCTTCCCGGGAAACCTCTAGGTCACCGAGGTCTGGCTCAGGGGAAGAAGCCTCCACTTCTAGTCCTGCAAACACTTCTAAGGGACCCGGGTCAGACTCAACAAGTACAGGCGTGTCATCCTCCTTTTTCGGGGAGGATTCAGAACCCTTTACCGTTTGTTCATACAAGTCCCAGAACAGGGGGAAGTCACGCCCAATCAACAGGTCATGGTGCAACCCGGGCATCACCCCAACTTTCAATGAAGCAGTTCCCACTGAGGTAGACAGGGTTACAAGAGCTACAGGGTAGTCCTTGACATCACCATGCACACAAATCACCCCCACATATTCTTTAGGGATCAGCTTTCCCTGCAGTTTGTCTGCTCTAAGCAGGGTTACGACACTTCCAGAGTCAAAGAGGGCAACAACCTCCCTCCCGTTAACGTGCACCACTCTCTCATGCGGTTTTTTTAAATTATAGACCTTTAATTTCTTTGTAAGTGGGCAAACTTACAAAATCTGCAGGGGATCAAATAATTATTTGCCACACTGTATCTCTTCATGCCTACCTTTTTTTGTTGTAGTGTTCTGAAGGGTTAGAACTTCTCTCAGGCCTTAATTGCTGTCTCTGAAAGCTTTGGGGGGATGTTCTATAGTGACTTAGGGGTAGATGCGAGGAACCACTTAGAGCATTGGTCGACCAGGAGATCACGCTCCCTGACTAAGACTTCATTTTGGATTCCTCTTGGGTCTAGTAGCAGGAAAGGTACGTATTTTCTTTTTAAGGCACCCTTTCATTGGCAAGTGCAGTTTGGTGACAAAGGTGCATTCATTATATGCAACATATAGTGTAAAAAAGGCAAAATAGTGGTGAAAAATAAAATACTTGCCTGTTCTGCCAATTATCGCTTGCTTATCTTTTAAATCTTCATGGTCCATGTCATGCTGGCAACTTTTTTGTCTTCATATTTTGTGCTAAAGATGTCCTTCTTTGCCAACTCAGAAAATAAGAAGGAATGGTAGAGGTCCATTTAAACAATAAACACTAGTGCAGGCTGCTTAGTCTTTTGGTTTCCTGGGGTGAAACAGAGTTAGGGGCAGTAAAAAAACAAAATTACCTACAAACAGCTTTATACTTATTGAAAGTCAAGCTGGGATAGATAGAGCCCTTGTCAGAACTGAACCCGCAATCCTTGTGTGAGAAGCAGTAGTTATAGTAACTATTGTAAAGTATTATGTTGTCTACTGAATGAGTTATTTTTGTAGTTACCTTTTTCCCATAAAGATTAATTTGGTATTGACAGAAAAATTGGACCGTTTATATGTTGTGTATATCATGCTTAAATGATAGATAGATAGATAGATAGATAGATAGATTTATTTGTCACATACACAATCGTACAAGTATGATATGCAGTGAAATGCTTACACGACTGCAAAAATGCTGCACTAACCTACATTTAGCACCCAGATTTACCAGTTTGAACTAGGTTTCTCTAAATAAATTTTGAGATTCACTTGTCATCATAATCATTAGAATGGCTTTATATATGTGAGATTAGAATAACATATCCATGCTTCTATTTATTTTGTTATTTGGCAAAAACATACATTATTTTTTAACTAATTTATCAATGTCGAATAGTGTTTTATTCTTTCCACCTTAAAATTGTGCCTTTTAGGGTTAACTATTTCAGAACTGCTTAATATAGCAATTGTTTATAATAAAATTCACATTGATCTTTAATTAATATTGTACAATGACTTTGATCTTCAAGTGACCATATATGGTAAATGCCTAATGTCTGATACTGGTGAATGTGGCATGCTAATAGTGCAGATCAGAGCACATCCTTTGGCTATGTCTGAGCTGGACTTTTTGTCTGATTATTTACAGATGTCATTACCAAAATTAGCAATAGAAATATTTGACTTTCACATACATGTACTTACCTGGAAAATACAAGACTGAGTGTACATAAGTCTCTGGGGCAAAGATCTTTCAGAACTCTGCCTGACTGATATATAATATCTCTGGGTTAGTAATGGGTTAAATAATTAGCTGCAGGAAGACCACAAGTAATACTGGTAATACCAATATTATGGTATTGTTAATACCAATGGCCATTCCTTTTCCTCCTGCTTGCCTTTTTGGTCAAAGCTTCTACAGTTAGGTCCTTTTTAATTGGTGTCTTACTGGTGCTTGGAGTTCAGCTTTTTGTTTTTACATTCTTTGCTATGGTGTTTCTAAGAAATATAAAGAGAAAAAAAGTAAATTGATAGAAGCGAAAAGAGAAGAGATAAAACTGAACTGTCTTGGAAGTGTATTATTTATATGAAGTAAACAATTGTAAATGCTGGAGTTATGGCTTTCTCTTATTCACCTAATGATCCCTCTTTCACAGACTCTGAAGACTGGACTTACAATGGTTGGGAAGGTTGTTACCCAACTTACTGGTACACTGCCTGCTGGTTCTTCAGATGAAGACTTGTCATCGCATAGCAATTCAAGACGTAGTCCTCTTGTCCCTGGGGTTATCACTATTATTGACACAGAAACTGTTGCCGAGGGACAGGTGAGCCATTTTTAAATTGACCTTTGAGAATAAATGACAGTGTGTAAATTGAGTGTGTTTGTAAAGTTCATTCTCCACCACCCATTTTATGCTCAATATAAATCTATTCTTTGCTATGTGAGGCAAAGTAGCAGGTTCAGTTTAATTCACCCTCCCCAGCAGAACATGCTCACTTGTTTATTTTCTTTCCCATTGCCACTGTGTAATCTAGAAGTTGCTTAATATATAGCTTACATGATGCAATGGAGTCTTCCCAAGTGACAATGCTGGTAATTGGCTTACTGCTACTTTATACCCAGAGGTACCAGGTATTTTCCTGGCAGCTGAGCTGGAGCAGTGGAATAGCAAAGGAAATATGAGCGTTTGTTGCTGGGGAAGTGAGGGGGTATGGACAAATCACAAGATTGCTTTAAAGGTAGCCCAGTATTTATTTTTTTATCCAAGCATTGGTATAGCGCACCAGTATACTCTAGTCCCTTTTGTTGGTCATTTTGTAATCAGAGAAACCCCTGATTTTGACACAGAAGCGGCAGTCCCAAACAAACCCACTGCGGATTTCATTTCATATACAGAAAGCCTAAATATTTCAGTATTGAAAGTTAATGTGATATTAAAGTCAAAAGGTTTTTAAGCTATTGCAATTGCTGGTTAAATTACTTATATAGGATGCTGCTTCTTGATGTTTAAAAGTTTTAGCTTCCTGCAAAATCAACTGGTCTCCTCAGCACAGCCCTGATATCCTGTTTCAGGATGTCTGCTTTTATTTGCAGGGTGGAGCCACCCTTGTGTGTGCTAGTAATCTTTGTGTGTCTCCACAAACTCATAGACACAGCAAGGCAAGCCGCTCCGCTACTCCCTGCTCCTTTTTCTACCTTGCTCCCTTCTCCAAGCTAGTAGATGTACAGCTGCTTCGGACTGCTCTATCCCTTGTAATCTTGTACTGGACAGGACGTTCAGGGAAGTGGAGCTAGAAGATTTTGAGCCAGCTCTTCAGAATAGTGATGACTAAAGTGCTTGGGCAAAAATTAAAGACATACTTTGCTGGGCAATGCGTATTTGTTTGATCTGGATTCATTATTGAAAAAAAGGTTAACAATTTAATACCACTTTATGTTCCTTGCAGCCACTTATCAGAGTCAAACCTACCTTGTTTGAATGTGTTTGTAGATTTGAATGTGTTTGTAGATATAGGAAGCTGTGGCTCTGTGAGATTTTCTCTTGATTGCAGGGTTTGCTAAATACCATCAGTAGCTCACTGATTGGTTTCACTTGTTGCCTGGATTTACAGTTTCCTAGATGTGGGCGCCAAGTTTGTTTCCCCATTTTAACAACAAAAAAGGGAGCTGTATTAGGAATAGTTAGCTTTCTATACAGTTTACAACTGTTCAAAGATGTGTGTGTACCAATTAAGCACATACGACCATTGCCTGACCCTTGAGATTTTAGGAGAATTACCATTTCTACCAGGATCCCACACAAGTACTATGTTGCACGCGCAAATGATACATAAGCAAAAGTTGTCCAGCTCACCTCTTCCTAATACTTCTCTCCCTTTGAATATCTATCTGTCCCAACAGTGTTTTCTGTGATATATGCCTGTTGGCTGTTTCTCTTCCTGTAATGTCCCCAGAGCTTGCAGACCTGCCATGGTTCAACCTGGAAAACAAAATGTTCTTCAAGTCTTGTTTTGCTACCATGGACCCCTTTGTTTTTTATAGTTTGGCCTCCTCATTGCTCTTCCAATACTACTCAGATGGGCCCTTTGCAGTGGCACAATTAGAATATTTGCCCTTGGCGGAGCCTAGGACAGTTAAAGTCCGAAATGCTTCCACTGAGATGTATTGCAAGTAGATGCATCAGAAATCTACTTGTGTAGGGTGTGCCACTTTCTTAAAACTTGTTAAAAAGCTACTGATTCATAAAACACCTTCCCAGATATTCTCTCTCTTTCTCTCTTTCTCTCTCTCTCTT